TATTTGTTTATGACACTTCTTAATAGTTAAAACGATTATTTTGTTGTTATGTACGCGATCACCGGTGCTTAGAAAATTTTCTCGTTTAAAACCGGTCCGTGGTGCAAAGGAGGTTGAAAAACGCTATTTTAGATCGATCCACCCATCACTAGGGTATAGATAACGGATGGATGGATGGCCTGTTTCATGAGTTTATTTTTAAAAATATATATATTTCTGTTGAACCACAGTTCAAAAGCAATGTCTGATTTTCATTGGTTAATTTTCCTAGAATTTTTATTTGTTATTACTTTTGTCAGATTCAATTTATTTCTGTGACCTTTGAAGGTTTTTCTTTCATTAACCAAGGGGTACCAACAATTGTGTCCACGTACGTAATAAGGCTAAATACCCAATCCTGCTCGTCTGAACGTAGTGTAGAGAAATAGGTTTGCTGGTCCGCTCCGGGTAGAGTGAGTGGGGAGGGGTGGGTTTAGAGAAAGAGGCAGAGGCTTGATATATTTGCACATTTTAAAGGAAGCAACAGTGTATTGTTACATCTAAGCCATTTAAGGGAACATTAAAGCATATAATCACACTTCCAAAATGTTTAACTAAATAAATTTGGTGATGAAATATTCTTTTTAGCAGACCAAAATCCAAAATACACACATCAAGAAAAAGATTAAGCAATTTATTTATTTATTTATTTGAAAAAGAAGCTCATTTTTATAAACAGGTATTTTTACCCAGCTGTGTCTGCTTACAGTCGCTCATTATATTACATGTGAGCACTTTTAAAGTGTCAAAATGTCAATGTCAAAATTAGTTTTTATTTCACAAAAACATTTTTCATCATGATTTTTTTTTTCTTTTTAAATAATGCAACTTTTCATCAGTCTTTTTGGTTGTTGTTGTTTTATTCAACACAAACAGGTCATCCATAGGTTTATGGCCATTTGTCTGATTTTTCAAACTGAACAAACAGAAAAGGATCATTTTAAAAAGAAGAAAGGAATATCATTATTATATTGAGTTTTTAAAACATTTTGTTGCTTTTATTTTCTGACATTATATATTTATCCACTGTCTATTTATATATGTTTTCATTATTTATTTATTTGTTGCATAATATTGCCTTTACACCTGTTTTCTTTAAAGTCTTTATGTGTTTCTGTGTCCATCAGGCTGACAGTCCAGATGGGGGTGCTGTGTAGCAGGAACGAGGAAAACTGCTGCTCCGAGTCAAGTTCAGCTCCAACAACCAGGGTGAGCTCCTGCAGTTCAGCTTCCTTCATTGTCTGCAATTTTTTTTAAAAAGTCATTTTTGTCTGTTTGCAGAATACTTTAATGATAATGTCTGCATTTTCATTCAATTAAAATTCCTTAAATTTGAACAAAATCTTGTAATTGTTAGCATGCTCAAAAACAATAGACATAAAAACTGTCACCCTTGTGTTAAGCTTTTTTTTAGTTTATTTGTTTTTAATCAGTTTTGACCGTCACTGTGTCAAACTATAAGGAAGGAAGGGAGATAAAATATACACTGCTCAAAAAAAAAAGGGAACACTAAAACAACACATCCTAGATCTCAAAGAATGAAATATTCCAGTTGAAAAATTTCATTCATTACATAGTGGAATGCTCTGACAATTAAATAACATAAAAATCCATCCATTCATTGTCTATATACCGCTTAATCCTCACTAGGGTCGCGGGGGGGCTGGAGCCTATCCCAGCTGATTCAGGGCGAAGGCAGGGGACACCCTGGACAGGTTGCCAGTCTATCACAGGGCTACACTTAAAGACAGACAACCAAGCACACTCACATTCACACCTACGAACAATTTAGAATCACCAGTTAACCTCAGCATGTTTTTGGACTTGTGAGAGAAAGCTGGAGAACCTGGAGAGAACCCACACTGCACGGGGAGAACATGCAAACTCCACGCAGAAAGATCCCGGGTGTCCTCACCGGCACGCAAACCCGTGACCTTCTTGCTGCGAGGCAACAGTGCTACCAACTATGCCACCTTGCAGCCCAAAATAACATAAAAATGATCGATGTAAATCAAAATTATTATATCATGGAGGTCTGGATTTGGAATCATACTCAAAATAAAAGAAAATCATGTTACAAGCTGATCCAACTTCAGTGGAAATTCCTCAAGACAAGTCAGAATGAGGCTCAGTACTGTGTGTGTGGCCTCCACGTGCCTGTATGACCTCCCTACAATGTCTGGGCATGCTCCTGATGAGGCATGTTCTCCTGAGGGATCTCCTCCCAGACCTGGATTAAAGTATCAGTCAACTCCTGGACAGTCTGTGGTGCAACGTGGCATTGGTGGATGGAACGAGACAGAATGTCCCAGATGTGCTCAGTTGGATTCAGGTCTGGGGAATGGGCAGGCCAGTCCATAGCATCAATGCCTTCATCATGCAGGAACTGCTGACACACTTCAGCCACATAAGGCCGAGCATTGTCATGCATCAGAAGGAACCCAGGGCCCACTGCACCAGCATATGGTCTCACAATGGGTCTGAGGATCTCATTCCGGTACCTGATGGCAGTCAGGGTACCTCTGGCTAGCTCATGGAGGGCTGTGCGACCCTCCAGAGAAATGCCTCCCCACACCATTACTGACCCACTGCCAAACCGGTCATGCTGGAGGATGCTGCAGGCAGCAGAACGTTCTCCATTGCGTCTCCAGACTCTGTCACGTCTGTCACATGTGCTCAGTGTGAACCTGCTCACATCTGTGAAGAGCACAAGGCGCCAATGGCAAATCTGCCAACCTTGGTGTTCTCTGACAAATGCCAATCTTCCTGCACAGTGTTGGGCTGTAAGCACAAGTCCCACTGGTAGATGTGGGGTCCTCATACCACCCTCATGGAATCTGTTTCTGACAGTTTGAGCAGAAACATGCATATTAGTAGCCTGCTGGAGGTCATTCTGCAGAGTTCTGGCAGTGCTCCTCCTGGTCCTCCTTGCACAAAGGAGGAGGTAGCGCCCTGCTGCTGGGTTGTTGCCCTCCTACAGCTCCCTCCACGTCCCCTGGTGTTCTGGCCTGTCTCCTGGTATCTCCTCCAGGCTCTGGACACTGTGCGAGACACAGCAAACCTTCTTGCCACTGCTCACATTGTTGTGCCATCCTGGATGACCTGCACAACCTGAGCAACTTCTGTGGGTTGTAGACAGCACCTCATGCTACCTCTAAGGGTGAGAGCACTGACGAAACGCAAAAGTGACCAAAACATTGACCAGAAAGGATGAAAACAAAGAAATGGTCTGTGGTCACCACCTGCAGAACCACTCCTTTATAGGGGTTGTCTTGCTCACTGCCTCTCATTTCCACCTGTTGTCTGTTCCATTTGCTCAACAGCAGGTTGAAAGTGATTCACAATCAGTGTTGCTTCCTAACTGGACAGGTTGAGTTCACAGAAGTGTGACTGACTTGGAGTTACATTGTGTTGTTCAGGTGTTCCCTTTATTTTTTGAGCAGTGTAGTTTTTGCTACAAGATGCTCTGCATTGTCTTGGATTGGGTTGTGACCTACTTTAATAACATTGACTTGAGTTTTATCCAACATTATTATTTTACAACAGTTCATATCAAATCAAATCAAGTTTATTGTCACGTTGCTGTACATACACAGTAGTACAGGAAAGATGAGAAAGCGTTTCTTCTGGATCATTTAATTAGTAAGTTTTGCAGAATGCATGTCTGGGATAAGGCACTTAAACGTTCACTCTCGCTGTCTCCTGAAGGGGCCGCTGCGTTTATGCATGCCGCCATCACCAAGGCGACATTGATATGACATCTTAGAAAAAAATAAAATTATATATATATAGCTTTATTAAGGACTGGTGACCTGTCCAGGGTGTCCCCTGCCTTCACCCTAAGTCGGCTGGGATAGGCTCCAGCCCCCCCGCGACCCTAATGAGGATTAAGCGGTGTATAGAAAATGGATGGATGGATAGCTTTATTAAGCAAGTACAAGACTCTTTTAACTTCCAGCACCATTGTAGTAGCATTATATTCAGTGGTAGTTTCTGGTGTTGTTATAACGTGGTTTAATGTGCTGCATGTGATAACTTAATTTCTTCACTTTTCAAAAAGATCTAATTACATGGGGAGATAAAACACAATCAGTGAAAGTTCACATTTTAAATTCTGCACGACATTAATTGAAAACAGTGTTAAAAAAGAAATTAACATTTTGGCCGACTTCAGCTCGTCATTCTTTTATTTCTGCACTAGAGGTCAGCACAACTTCTATTTTGTCACATGCATAATAGTTGTATTGACTTGGTCCTTACAGAGACACTGGGCCACATGGCAATTATCAACTAACTAACTTTATCAAAGGTGCCAAACACCTTCCCATTAATGCAAACACTAGTCAGATCGCCTGCGTCAAAGTGTAAATGCACCTCACTGTGGCCCTGCATGTTTCGTTGTGTGTCCACTTTTGTGTCTGCAGGCCTGTGAGGTGTGGTATGTGTATTTTGGCGTGTGTTTATGAATACATTAAAGAGTGTAGGTGTTCAAAAGGCATGAGGGTGTGTTTATATGTGTTTGTGTGTGTGTGTGTGTGTGTGTGTGTGTGTGTGTGTGTTTAGGTGTGTGTTTAGGTGTGTGTGTGTGTACGTGTTTGCATTTAGGTTTCTGACTCGAGGAGCAGGCAGACAGATTCTCCAGACAACGACCATTTCTGACGGTGCATGTGGGCACTCATTAGCTGCTGTTTGTCCAGGACATCTCTCTGAACCTGGACCGGGTGGAGAGCCCCTTTTGCTCGTCAAGAGATCCCACAAGGGCTGAAACGGACCCTGGTAACAACAGGGACTTTCTTTTTTGGAACATCCTTTGTAACAAATTCTGTGGTAACATTGTACTTTAATTTTATCTATGACACATTTATAAGCACTATATAAACAATAAATTATCAATTTATATTATGATGTATACAGCTCATTCTGGTAATTACTTGTAATAGTTAATAAATTATTGACATTGTTTACACATAAATATGTGTGTATATTTTATATACACATGAGATATGATGTATTTTTTGTTCGTTATTACTTTGACATAATCATAATCATAACAATGGCTACAGCCATGTGGATGTTTCTCAGGTCGTAGAGGTGATCGTCCACTGATCGCCGGATTGATTGTTCGACCCCTGTTACATGTCAAAATGGCCTTGGGAAAGACCCTGAACCCCAAGTTGCTCTGATGAATGGCCCAGCGCCTTACGTGGTAGCTCTGCTGGGCTATTAGTGTGTGTGTGTGTGTGTGTGTGTGTGAATGAGTAAATAAGAAACTTATTGTAAAGTACTTTGTAGAACCTAGCTAAGGTTACAAAGGCTCTATGTAAGGTCATAATCACATTCATAAAACATTTATTCATAAAACCATTTGCAAAAGGTCATAGATGAAATCTAGACAGTGATCCTTCTTGTTGCAAATTTTGAAGAAAAAAACAAGAAAAACAAAACAACAAACAAAAACAAAAATTTTTGTTGGTCACATAAAAATTCTCGCAGTTGAACACAGAACATTCATTTAGAGCCATGTTTACACCCACCTGAAAAATATATGTGCCTGTTTACTCTCCTTTCAGCCCTGGTTTGCTCTCTAAACAAACAAACAAACAAAAAATAATTTTACATTATATGTAGCAGCTGTATAAACTTTAAATTAGTATTTTCACAGTCTACAGCACTGTTGCCTTGCAAGAAGGTCACCAGTTCGCGTCCTGGTGGGGACGCCCGGGATCTTTCTGCGTGGAGTTTGCATGTTCTCCCCGTGCAGCGTGGGTTCTCTCCAGGTTCTCCGGCTTCCTCCCACAAGGTCCAAAAACATGTTGAGGTTAATTGGTGATTCTAAATTGTCTGTAGGTGTGAATGTGAGTGTGCTTGGTTGTCTGTCTGTAAGTGTAGCCCTGCGATGGACTGGCGACCTGTCCAGGATGTCCCCTGCCTTCGCCCTGAAACAGCTGGGATAGGCTCCAGCCCCCCCCTCGCAACCCTAGTGAGGATTAAGCGGCATATAGATAGTGGATGGATGGAGAGTCTACAGCCTATTGTTCAGTCTTCACCTACTGCTGTGTTTTATAGTGCGTCTATAACACATGTGTTTGTTTACTTAGGAGTACAGGAATATAGCAGATGCTCATCAGGCAAGAACAACTTCACATACAATACTGCTGCATGTAGTCAGTGGTACAACCATTGCAAACAAATGTGTTGCAGACAGAATTGCAACACTGGCTACAGCCACAGCTGAGAGAGCACTGTGTCTGTGTCATCAGAACTGTAGGAGCTGTACTGTAATACAACATCATGGGAAATACAGACCTGTTCTGGTTGTGATTATTAAATGCCGGTAAGCCCTCAGTTGTGTCTGTTAGGCAACAAAGAAAACTAGAGAAGCTCTACAACAGCTCTCTCACTATCCACTACAGATACAGATTGTCTGACTGCAGCCTTGGGATTGAAACTGCTGTATTCCTGAACTCAAAATTGAACAAACACATCTGTCATATAAGCGCTGCAGGTACAAACAGTAGCAGCTGGACAAATCCATAGGAGACCTGTGGGGGCTCCATATTTTCCACCGTCGAGTAGGAGGAAAAAAAATGTTGCAATGAAAGGAGTGTTGATATCGCTGACCTTGAATTCTGTCAACCCTGTGTTCTCCTGGATAACCATGGCAACTGGAAAATACATCAGCTCTGTGGTTTTCACCAATGTCAGGAAAACATGACGACACTGAGCGTCACCGTCCAAAAACACGCTCAGTTTATTTATATTTTTGGTTATTTAAATTTTTAAAAATGTAGAACTTTAACATTGTGTTAGTACAGTATATTGTAATAGCTGTCAGCTATCCATGATTAATTCATAGCTTCCACATGTTTCACCTTTATAAATTAAAACATTTGTCTGCCAGACTGAATCACTTCAGGATTAATAGACTGAAACATAAACATGGCTCCTCTAAAATTCAATAGACAGAAAGTACACTTGTGTGATTACAGCTATGCTAGCTCTATGTAGCTGGATCAGTGCTTTGAGCCGGTGTCTGTCAGGATAACAACACCTTAACCCTAACATGGACAATACTTTACATGTTTCCTTCACTATGTTAGTGTGTTAGTGTTCCAAGACTTACTAATTAGTCCTGTTAACTCAGACAAATTAAATTTCAGTTCATCAACTCTCATCTGCAATTCAACTTTAGGTGAGACATTTCACTCAAAACAACAAATGGCAAACCTAGCCATACAGTAGCTACAGTAAAAGCAGGACTCACCAATGTCATTCTTATTCATCCTTGAGGTAACATGAATGTCTGTAAATAAATTCATTGCAATTCATCCAGTATCTTTTTTTATATTTGAATAAAACTATACTTATCCTTTAATTAAAATGAGAGCCCTAATGAAAACCAATAAAATCATCCAGAGCTCTAAAAAAAAAAAAAAGGTTGACGACAGAGGTGTCGGTGCTTTTCATCTTATATTATACAAAGTGAATGGTAATCAGGTTTTTTTTTATTGCTGATATGTTGAACACCTCATTATAAAATCTTATTTATACATAAAGGCCAGCATAGCTGCGTGCTTCTAGTCCACATCCAGAGAGAGGAGAATGCGAGGTTGGTGTTATACTGTCTGGGTCAGTCCATTGTGTCCAAGCAACAAAATGAAAGTTCAACCCTCATTTTAACTTCAGTGGAGGTCTAACACAAAAACTACAGCTTTTCAGAGTTACATCAATATGTTTGTAACAATCACCTTGTTACAAAGAAGAGTGTAGAACCAAACGTCTGAGACTAACCCTGTAAAGGGACAGCTAGAAAGACAGTATGATAAAACCACACCACATAGAACATAGAAATAATTATATTAAACTAGTGTTCCAGTCAACACAGTGCTCTGAAGAGAAACAAACAAAACAAACAAAAAACAATACAAAACAAAAACAAAAAAATCAAAAGTACCCACATTTTAGCAATCTCCTCAGCTGATTTTAATAGCATACCCCTGGATATTTCCTACAGTACAAAATAATAATTTACGATTAAATCTCTAATTTAGTGATCGAAAGAAAAATGCAAAGAACATAAGACTGTCATTATGTTGGTCAATATATAAAAGTTTAGACATGCTTTTGTTATTATTAGAAAACAGCAAAAATATACAAACCAAGATAAAATACCCTTTTAAATGTCCCATATACAATATAAATATCAAACTAGGCATGATCTGAGCCTACTCTATAGCAATATTAAACATAGGTGGAAGTGTCCAAATACAATGGAAAAGAAAAACAAACATACATTTTCCATCTTATACAGCATTTCCTTTTCTGAGTGGTTGCTACAAACAACAAACCATCCTTCTTCCTACATAACAAATGACAACAAAAAGAAGCAAGTCCTGGATTACATATTCTAAGTGCACATCATGAATTACTAAGAAAATTGGCTAATCCCATGACTTCATCACACCTGTGGTTAAAAACAAAAATAATTTTGGTCTGAATTGATCAAATTCCACTCAATCAAGTACATAAATCAGATTTAAAAGACTAAGAACGGAAAGAACAGAAAGTTTTGGCACTAAGTTTTCCTCAAAGGTATAGCAAAGCCCTGCATCCTGCCAAACAAACTCAAGACAGGAGTTTATCTTTCTGTAAGTGATGCCTCTGCTGTGTGTATACTGCTCCAGTTTCGTCTGCAACTAATGTGAGTTTGAGAGTGTTAGTGTGTGTCAGTGTGTCAGCGGAGGAGACAGGAGACAGATGTAGTGGCCATTCAGGAAGGAGATGAGGCCCAAGCGCCAAGGCTTCCTATAAAGCTTCAAACTCGTCAATCCTCTGCTTGGTGTTGCCCTGTCTGATCTGTCGCAGGGTCTTGTATTTGTCTCGGCCAGCCAGCACATTCTCACTGTGAAGGATGTCATTTTTGGTATTCTTGGATTCATCACGGGCCTGAGCCAGCTCAGATGTCAGAGCCTGAGGAGAAAGAAGAAGAAGCCACATGAGATCAAAGAACACAACCAACAATGCTGACACCAATCTAAGTCTAACATAACAGTGCATCTTTCTAATGTCACCATGAAACTGTAACCTCTTCTCTGTGTCTGCTGGGCTTTGTCCAAAATCAATGTCTTGTACTCATAGTCACTACACTTTGGATTCTCAAGTTTAATCTAAACTGAGCAACTCTTCTGTAACTTTTTTCATCTATAAAATGTGTTTTGTGACTGGACACTTTTTATTACTATGTGGGAATTTCTGAAGGTGCTAAAATCATAGATTTCACACTCAGGCAGTGAATGTGGTATATTGTAAAGTACACCAGGAGTGGTTCTGAACACAGCTTTGGTGGACAGCACAGTCATTAGCTGATGACGCGGTACAATCTGGCTCATGAACTTACGCTGTCTTCCAGCAGTTGGCATCTATCCATACAATAAAAAACAACAACAACAACAACAATACATTATATTTTTTTTAGCGCTTTTCAAAATGAAAAGTGTTAAGATGATGAAGACCCATCATCTTAACACATTCACATACCTCTTCCATGACTGCTGTTGCTGATTTCAACATCCTGTTGTTGAATTATTTAAGCTAATATGTTTGTTAAGTACATATTGTGTTTCAATTATATTATATTAAAATCAGACTCTAGAAATCATTTTTGAGTCTTTTTTAAAAATCTTTGAACTATAACGTAAATCCACAGAGAAACGGTGGAAATATGTATTATTTTAGATCTTTACCACAAGAAAATGGGTATAACTGGAACTACTATAACTGACTATAAAATTAAGTTGTGTCAAGGTTTGTGGTCCAGGATAACAAATCTGATGACATGTTCAAGCACAACAGAGGAACCCAGTTTCTTTATTCACCGTTACTCTTTGACCCAGATTCTGCTTCCTGTAAATTTTGTAAATATTGTAAATAAATTCTTCTTTGCCGAATTCTGTTGCTGTGTCTTTGTCTGCACCTGTGTCTGTGTCTGTTCCGTGACAATAGTAATATACTGCATGGCATCTGTTAGCCACAATAAAAGTGTGAATGCACCCCAAGTGATGTATGGGACAAATTCTCTCATAATTTCTGTGCTGCAACTAAATTCTCTAATGGACCACATCCTTTGATTCACCCGAAATGCATTTATTACTGTACCTGCATACTGCAAGTGACTGATTGTGTGAGGTGGTAATTATCTCTGATCCCGGTCACATTGTCCTCACCTTCAGCTGTTTCTGGACACGCTCGTTCTTCTCAGCCTCAGTCAGGCGATCTTCCTCATTGCGATGGTCATTGATGCCTTCATACTGCAGGTCGGCACTATGTGTACTGTTGTTCTCCTCACCGTCACTGATGTCATCCAGATTGTCATACATGGGAGGAGGTGGAGGTGGTGGCGGCACTGTCATCACCATATGCAGCTCCTCCTTGGTCTTAATCAGATCGTCCTGGGCCTCCCGGGCCTGACGACAACAGAAGGTCAGTCAGTTTATTCGTTGGCCTCCAAATGGAGGTAGAAAAGTTTGTTACACATCTCTAAAATCCCTCCCCTTCATATCCACATTTATTTTCTCTTTGTTGCATTTGTTTTGAGTTAGGGTTTAAATTTATAAGCACCCAGATATTCTTCAAGGAAAACAAATGTACTACCTTGTTTATTGGACAGCTCTGGCATGTTAGAGAATTTGATACAGCAAAGAAAGACACTAAACGTAATTTAGTAATTCCATTTCTGTAATGAACTGTACTTGTCTGCTGTAAATTTACCACAGAAATAGATAAATGAGATGCAATAAGCAGTACACAGCAGTCATCAATTAAAGCTCTTACCCTGAGCTGCCACGAGTCAGCCTCCTCCTCCTTCTGTCTCCTGGCCTCCTCGAGCATGGTGATCTTGGCTGTGTGCTCTGCCAACTCTGCAGCCTGACACAAAACAGCAAGAGAAACTATGTCACACTCATTGCAAATAAAGATGATAGAAGATTTTAAAAAAGACTAAAACTGTGATTCATGACCTTGTTCTCATATGTAACAAATAAAATATTTTTACTGTATCAGCCAAAAACAATATTTACAAATGACATAACATAAGTTTGAGTTCTTTTAGTTTCTCTGCTATTGCTGTCATGTTGAATTCAGATTTACAGTAGCAAATGCCTCCCTGAGCAGATGAATGAGACTTGAATTATGCAGCAAACAGTGTTGATCACACATTTTTCATTTACTATTCTGTTCACATTGAGTGTTACTAGAAATCCCACTCAACCTGCTGAACCATGTTTTAGCCAGTAACTTCTTCTGATTCTGGTAAGAGGTTTTATCCATCAAATTCATCAGCAAAACTTATCTAAAACTAATTTATTAGAGGGATGAAACCTGACAAAGTCAAAGCACCAGTTCACAAAAATCAGTGTAGTATGCCATATAATGCCATGTTCATATTATTGTGACCACTACTGGACACTTTCTGTATAAAACTACTTTAAAAAAAAGCATCACTGAGCAAAATGGGACCTGCCAATGTTACTTTGAATGTCAGCGTAAGGACTGGCTTGACTTAAAAACAAATGATTTCCTTTAATATTTTGAGACATTTCTGTCATTTGAGATAGTGAATTTGAAGTGATTTTTAAGAACTAAGACGTCATATTTCTGCTGAAGTGATATTCAGATTTTTCTTTAACCTTTGGCGTGTTTTTTAGAGACAATCATTGAATTGTTTTACAAACAATTATCTTTAGAAATATCTCTTTCATGGAACTGTTCACAACAAGCAGACATTACTTTGTTATGAAGAGTGACAAGCAAAATAAGTTGCTTTAAACTACATTTTAAAGCCAATTAAAGACATATAATAGAAAATAATTTTACATTTCATAATACACTTCAAAATCACTCTGTTCACATCATCGCCAACAGCAGAGGAAAAGAAGTTGGCACTGTGAGGAGATGTCTTGATGAAACGATGAGCCACTGTGGGTGTGTGCATTCCTTCTAACTACCACAGCAATGTGAATGGCTTGTCTTTGACCACACTGAACTAGCCAGGCTCAGCATTAAATGCTGCACCTACTTTGATTGTTCAATGTGTCTAAGTTGACTTCAGCCCAGAGTGACTTCAGCCCAAAAAAAAAACGTGCTTATGTTTGACTGTCACTGGCTGCATGTGGAGCAAGAACATCAGCTTTACTGTCAGGACTGATAAGTGAAATCCTGTGGGTGGTCCACATCCCAGCAGCTCTTGGTGATGGGGAAATTAGTCTAAAGTAAAGGGGTGTGGTCAAGCTAGACACTACAAACTGGTTTTGTCTGGAGCTACAATAGCCAGGCACCGTTGAATACACCACCCTGCATTTGCCTAGTACAGACCTCGAAATATAAAGTAAAAGAAAATCCTGGGAGATTTGTCAACAAAGTCTGATAAGTGTGGACCTTGTTTACAAAAAAATGATACATTCTTTTTCTTCTCCCAAGTTCTCAGCTGTTATTTTGTTATATCTTCCTGCTACAGTTCATAAGTATTTTTAAAGTCACTGGTTAATTTAGGAAAAGACGGTGTCATAAAAATACTGACGAGCTGCTCCTGACTCTTCTTCTGGAATTCAGCTTGACGGGCCAGCTCCTCTTTAGCCAACAGGGCATTCTGACGCTCCGTCTCCAGGCGAGCTGCTTCCTCCTCAGCTCTCCGCCGCTCTGTCTCCAGCATCATGGCTCTTTGGAGCTGGTCCTGCAAATCTTCAATATACAAAAGAGGAAAAGAAAAAGAGGCATGAGACAAATGCTAAACTAAATTTATTTTTGCTCACAGCCAGTAAAGGATAGACATTTTTCCATATTTCAATTACAGCTGCCTACCTTTTATACCAAAATGATTTAATCCTGTGTTTTTATTTCCATTTTACGCAATATGTCAAGGTTCAAGGTTCAAAAATCTTTAATGACCCCGTGGGGAAATTTTTGTGCAGCCAGCAAAGTCACATTCATTTATAAAGCACATTTAAAAGCAACAGGAGCTAAACAAAAGTGCTATACAGTTAAGAAAAAAATAGGAAAACATAAGGACTAAAAGACAAATCTAAATAAAATCAATAGAATAAAAGAAGAATAAAAATACAGCACAGCAATGGATCAAGTCAGGGTGTCAGGTTCTACTTGAATCAAACAACAAATGAAAAGAGGTGGGTCTTAGGCAGTGATTTTAAAGTTTCCAAAGTCTCAGCAGTTCTTGCATGAAACGTTAACCTGTTCCAGAGATTAGGAACAGCGACTGCAAAGGCTTGATCACCTCAATTTTTGAGCCTGGATCTCAGAAGTATCTGGTTGCTTGATCTCAATGCTCTAACTGGGATATGAAGATGCAAGAATTCTGCTACATAAAAGGGCGTCAACCCATGAAACCAAACAATTAAATCTTAAAATCAATCCTGCAATGGACAGGGAGCCAGGAGAGGTAGGCCTGGAGTAGTGTTCTGCGAACAGCTGCATTTTGTACCAACCAGACGCTGAAGAGATGACTGCTCTACACCCATAGATTAACAATTACAGTAGTCTAGCAGGTTGGTATTGAAACCATAAGTAACTTCTTCAAAATCGTTGACAGGGAGACAGGGCTTCACCTTGGCTTAAAGTCTCTACTGAAAAGGGCTGGTTTTGACCACTGACCTGACCTAAAATGGAGCCCTGTGGGACCCAACAAGCAAGAAGGGCTGCAGTACACCAGTATTCACCTCAGTGAACCAAGAAATTCCTATCTGTAAGACAGTAGTTTCACCAGCAACAAATCTAATTGATAGGAGGTCAAGAAGTCGTCATCTAGCATTTCCTAGAGCTACACACATGGACAAAATTGTTGGTACCCCTCGGTTAATGAAAGAAAAACCCACAATGGTCACAGAAATAACTTGAATCTGACAAAAGTAATAGTAAATAAAAATTCTATGAAAATTAACCAATGAAAATCAGACATTGCTTTTGAACCATGGTTCAACAGAATTATTAAAAAAAAATAAACTCATGAAACAGGCCTGGACAAAAATGATGGTACCCTTAATATTTTCTTGCACAACCTTTGGAGACAATCACTGCAATCAAACGATTTCTGTAACTGTCAATGAGACTCCTGCTTCTCAGCAGGTATTCTGGCCCACTCCTCATGAGAAGACTGCTCCAGTTGTGTCAAGTTTGAAGGGTGCCTTCTCCAGATGTCATCTTTCAGCTTGTTTCACAGATGTTCAATAGGATCTAGATCAGGGCTCATAGAAGGCCACTTCAGAATAGTCCAATGTGTTCCTCTTAGCCATTCGTGGGTGCTTTTAGCTGTGTGTTTTGGGTCATTATCTTGTTGCAAGACCCATGACCTGTGACTGAGACCAAGCTTTCTGACACTGGGCAGCACATTTCTGTCTAGAATACCTTGATAGTCTTGAGATTTCATTGTACCCTGCACACATTCAAGACACCCTGTGCCAGACGCAGCAAAGCAGCTCCAGAACATAACAGAGTCTCCTCCATGTTTCACAGTAGGGACAGTTTTCTTTTGTTGATATGCTTCATTTTTGCCTACAGCTGATGTGACTTGCCAAAAAGTTCCAGTTTTGTCACATCTGTCCATAGGACATTCTCCCAGAAGCTTTGTGGCTCCACTTTGGTTCAAACAATGACAGATGGTGCGATCTGACACTGATGTAGCTTGACCTTGGAGTTCACCTTTAATGTCTTTAGAGGTTGTTCTGGGCTCTTTTGTTAC